CCAGAAGTAGAGATGTTTAAAGTATACACATGTACCTTTCTTTTAGACATCTCAGTTTTAGCCTCTGACATGGTTTCTATATCTACATGCTAGTGCTTGTCTCAATTTGCTTTATATGGTCAGGAAATTATGTGACTGAAACAACCCTGTGAAACTGATACAGTCTCTTCAGTAAGAATGCACCTTAATGGAATATTTGTATGACAAAGGAAGGGGCTGTGCTTACTACACCATGTTATCATGAGACCTGACGTCATTTCTTGCTGTAAAACCTGTATGAATAAGATATTACCTTTATAATTGTTACAACATAAAAGATACATTTTCCCTGAAAGTTTGCTAAACTGGAGTGATAATCTTTTAATCTTCTAGTAACCCACTGTGCAAACTGGAGGTTAAATAGTTCCTTTTATATTCCTAAATGGTTCCTTTCCTTACCATGTAAGATGGTAATTCTACCTAAACTGTTTTTCTCCTCTTTCATCCATTAAGGAAAGAAGTAAAGTTGTATTTTAAAAGGATTCAATTTAATTAAGCTTTCTTGAATTAACAAAATATTAAGTTTATTAAATATATGCAAGAAGCAGTTTCACAATACATGTACACACAGTTAAGGTGAGTTGCAACAGATAAAAGTTTTAAAAAATTATTATATGGATCAGTCTCTGAATTGTTCATGAAAAACTGTAGATACAACAACTTTGTGGCCATCATAAGTGTTAACAATGGAAGCTAAACAGTTGCTTTATGACAGTGATAGTAGGAACTGCCGATGCTGGAGAATCTGAGACAGCAAGGTGTAGAGCTGGATGAACACAGCAGGCCAAGCAGCATCAGAGGAGCAGGAAAGCTGACGTTTCGGGTCTAGACCCTTTTCTGAAGAATCTGCTTTATGAGAGTCTTCAGTTTCGAGATTGATTGAAGTTCCTTTTGTCCTAATTCATTTGTAAACAGGTTTGCAGCATTCGGGTGAGAGATGCCCTCTTCTTATAAAATCTGCAGTACAGGGTGACTAGGGTGAAGTTCTTCAACTGTGAATCTCATGGCACACTAACATTGAAACCCAGGCTGGTACACATGAAATCATTCAGTACCAATGGTGGACTCCAGTAGATCTGGCACTGGCTTTTGAACCCTGTCCTTGTGTATTCTTCAAAGAGAGAAAAGTATAAAACGTGTTTGCTGTTTTGGACATCATCTGCAGAGGGTAACTTTGCTGTTGAGTAGGAGGTCATCAGCTCCAGTTATCATTGGAGAGATCATCTGTGATAGGGTTAGGGTTAGGGTTAGAGATCATCATTCAGTCTGTTGGGAGTTGCTTTGACACGTTTAGGTGTTAGATCACATCAGTCCCACACAGAGGATTCTAACATCAGCAGTTGTGTCCATAGTGAACCCTTACTGAAAAATAATACATTTTAGAATTAAAGATTGTAAAGGGCCACAGTACTGTATTTGTGGTCAAGATAAGAAAATGAGTAAGGAGAAAATTACTGCACGTGCTGGAATCTGTACTTAAAATGACCAATGCTGGAGATCACAGCAGGTCAGACAGTATCCATGGAGAGAGAGCAAGCTAACATTTTGAATCTGGATGATTCTTCCTAGCAGCTGAAGTGAAGTGTGGTGGAGACAGCATTTATGCTATAATTTGTGGTGGGTGTGTGAGGCTAGTGGCTGTAGGGAGTGGTGGAGAAAAGACGTTGCTAGTTCAGATTAAGTGATCGGAATGTGAGAACGGCAGAACAATGGTGTCTCTCCCGCCAGACTTGATAAGACAGACAGTTCCACTGGAATGTGGAGAGAGAGGAAAGAGGACGACCACCAACACCACCCATCCTCCCATAGCACCTTCCCATTTAACCACAGAAGGTGCATCACCTGCCCTTTCACCACCTCCCTACTCATCATCCAAGGGCCTTAACAGTCTTTCCAGGTGAAGAAGCATTTCACCTGTACCCCCACCAATCTTGTGTATTGTATTTGCTGTACCCAATATGGCTTGCACTACATTGGAAAAACCAAATACAGACCGGGTGACCACTTTGGGGAACACCTCTGGGTCCATGCACAAACATGACCCCGACCTTCCCATAGCCGGTCATTTTAACACCACGTCCTGCTCACATGCCCACATGTCCATCCTCAGCATGCTGCATGGTTTAAGTGAAAGCGCAAAATAGAATAGAAACATCTCCTCTTCATACTCGGCACTTTACAGTCTTCTGGACTTAATATTGATTTCAACACCTTCCAATTGTGAACCATTTCTTCCCTTTGTTTTAACTTGTTGCATTATGTTATCATGTTCTCTCTGTCCTTACCACCCCCCACCCCCACTCCAGTGGGACTGTTTCTCCTTTCAAGTCTGGCGGGAGACACACCATTGTTCTGCCATTCTCACGTTCCAATCACTTTACACCCACTATCCCCACACACCCACCCCAAATTATAGCATAAATGCAGTCCCCTCCCCACTTTGCTTCAGCTGTTATGAAGAGTCATCTAGACTCAAAATGTTAGCTTGCTCTCTTTCCATGGATGCTGTCTGACCAGCTGTTCTTACTTCAGATTTCCAGCATCTGCAGTATTTTATTTTTGTTAGATCAGCAAGTAGTTTGGTGGGAGGAACCGTTGATCAAAGGCACAGCGTCTGATCACAGGAAGCAGGCATTTGGATGGTGGGTATCTGTAGAACAATGATCACCTTGTAAAAGCCCAAGTGTAATCCCAAGAATAGTCATTGCTCCAGGTGGCACACCTGGCAATGGAGAGCTGCCAGCTTCTGTTTGGTTGGCAGCTCTTGGAGCAGAATTTCTGTCCATTGGGGAATACCAGAAATTTAATGACCTCCAGGGAACCAGGATTCTTGGCGGTAGATTGCCGGCTGCCAGTTTTCATGGTGGACAGTGGGACTACTCCCTACCTCCCTCATTAAATTGCACCCTCAAGCAGAATTTGTTAAAGCTGTGTATTGTGGCATAGTGATAGTGTCCCTACCCCTGAACTGGGAGGCCTGTGTTCAAGACCCATCTGCTCCAGAGGTGTGTAATCTGAATAGTGAAATGGGTTGTATAAAAAAAATTTTAAATAATGAGAATAATTTGTTACTTTCAAGTTAGATCTTGGAAGAACTGTAGAACAACCTAATTGTTGAACCAGAGTTTAGAAAAAGACTTCGCTGTAGCTGTTCAGCATAAGAAAATGTCAGTCGGTAAAGACAACTATTTTATCTGGTTTGAGCTATAAAGTCTGAAATAAATTTCATGGAACTGAATGAGAAAAATATACAAAAGTTTGAAGAAGCAATTTTTTCAATAGCAATATCTTGTTGGAATCTAGTCTATGGCATTATACATGCTTATCCTGCTGTATACAACTGATGCGCTTTCTGTGACACAGTAGAACAAACAGGATTAAAGTCTCTTAAAAATTAAATAACACTCTGCAAGAATGGGCACTGAGAAAAATGAGTTTAATTAGAGCAGCGAGTTATTCCCATTCCATAGAGTTATCTAATTGTCTCAGCAGATTTATCCATGTCCATTGACTTCAAGGCCCATGCTGTTTATGTCTTTTATTTATATGTGGGCATCGCTGGCTGGCCAGCATTTGTTGCCTGTCCCTATTTGCCCTATAGTTTGCCAAAATTTCCCCAGTGATTACTGCTTCATATGTGCATTAATGTTTCCTTGCTTTGGCTGGATTAATGTTAACAAGCTTTCGCTACCCACATTCCACTGAATGGATTTCAGAACTGTTTTTATTTATTTTTATGTTTCTTCAAACTGTGGACTGAAATGAGAGTTTGAAACACAGAGGTTTTGAAACACATTGAAAGCAAAGAGTCTATACACATTATGAACCAGAGATAGTAGGAACTGCAGATGCTGGAGAATCCGAGACAACAAGGTGCAGGGCTGGATGAACACAGCAGGCAAGCCTCTCTGCTCCTATGATGCTGCTTGGCCTGCTATGTTCATCCAGCCCTGCACCTTGTTGTCTCACATTATGAACCAGTTGTGTGGCTGGGAGGTCCAGCAATGTGCAGACGACCTGGAGCCAATGGTTTGTTTACAAGTGAAGCTGATTAGTGATGAGTTATCAATAACAAAGGTGCTTTTATCTGCCAACAGCCATGTGAATAGTTGCCAGGTAGCTGAACAACTTGAGCTGTGACTAAGACAGAGAGAAGCTAGTTAGACTCTAAGAGAAACCAGCAGCTCTGCAGCGGCTAAAACTTCTGTCTGTTAGTTCTCTGCAGTTAAGTTGCCTGAAACCTTAAGAAAACAGCTTATCTTTCCTTAAGCAGATGCTACAAATTGTGACTTTGAATGGAATAAGTCAAAGACCAGCCACCCTCTGCCACTTGCAAACCAGCAAAAGTATTTGGGGGTGAAAAAGAAGGTTGAGGAGAAACCTTGGATCAGCAAGAGCCAACCCAACAGATCTTGTGAACAAAGACCACAGAACTGTTATCCCAGTTTCCCTCTGCCCATGTATCTTTGTTCCCAGTCGGTTTAGAGTTTTAATTAGTAGAGTTAATTTAATTGTTTATCTGTTGCTAGAATCTATTTGTAATAAATAGATTCTTGTACTATGCTGTCCATAAACCTGCATCTGAAAAGCAAGCAGTTTGGAGATTTTGCACATATCTTTAAAAACTTTAACTTTTGAGATGACTCTGGGAATAGTGATTTCTAGTGTATTGTGACTGATGTGAAGAAGCCTGGTGTGAGTCACCTTCATCAGCAAATGGAGATTGGACTCCAGGAAATCGCCTTCATGTATCTAACAGAGTGCAGATTATCCTGCAAATTATTTGGCATGCTGAGATTAATTGAAAAATTAATAAGTAAAATTGGAATTCTGATGAATTTCACGGAGTGAAAGCTCACAGCAATTTTTGCACATTGTCTGGGGAAAATTGCTTTGTCTTTCTGAAAGTAAATTGAAGTCAAGCATAACATTCTAATGATGTATTCTCTTTCTTTGTGCAGGAGCAGTATCTATAGCAGGGGTCCAAGCTGGCCTTTGGGCAGTGGAAGGAGGGAATAAACTGGTTTGTTCCCAGTTACTTGAGTCAGTAAAAGTCAATGTTGTCCACACCACAGTGACTTCAATTTCTCTGCACTCATCAGGTAAGGAAGGACATGAATTGAATTGTATTAGCTTTATTGTCACATGAACACACGAGTACAGTGAAAAGTTTACAAGTCACTGTTTACCGCTCTATCTTAGGTATAAAGGTACCTAAGTACGGATTCTTGAGTACAAATTCTTAGGAAAAAGAAATTAGAAAAATAAAGAAATAATAAGTCCCACATTACAGACGTTCAAAGTACAAAATCATAAAAATAAATTATAAAAATAAAGGAATAAAAGTTTAGGATAACAAACCTTCCACGATAATATAATAAAGAAACAAAGGAAGAATTTTGAAAAAAAGAGAATTTAAGACAAAGTCCACCTTGTCCGTTTCATGGCTCTGGACTCGAGGACCCAATCCCCATTGGATCCCAGGCTGGATCCAATCACGATGCTGAAGAAAGCACTGCATGAAATCATAGACTGACTGAAGCCACCACAAGGAGATCCAGACCAACACTGATAAAAACAGCCATCAAAGCTGCCAAAAGGTGTCTCAGGCTGCCACCAAGCATATACTTAACAATTAGATGAAAGTCATTGTTCATACACCCAATAACTGAGCAATCATCAGTGAGGGCATGCTACAAGCAAGCAGACAGCTTTTTAAAGAATATGTTATCAGCACAAGATCTGCTGTTACACTATTAGCTGGGATTTTGGTAAGCTGTCTAGCATTGTGTGCAAACTGCTATATGTTTCCTCCCTTTGCTGGTTGGACTGAAGTAGATCTTTAATCCAGAGACCTTGGATGTCACTTTGAAATGTTTGTACTTTACCCCCCTTTGTGGTTTTATTTGGGAACACCCAGGAATAAACAAATATTGTGCCTTATATAATGATGTGGAGGTATGAGAAAATATACACAAAATTTATGCATGACACAAAGTTTACACCTAAAATGTGGCGGCTGTGCAGTTAGAAATGATCTTTTCAGACAGTTTGTTTTGACTTATTTGACAGAACATATCTTGAAAGAAATATCAAGCCAATTTAAGAATGTTAATTCTAGAGGTAAGGACAACACAAATTTCAAAGACTAAAAATGAACTCTGTGAGTCAGATTCCATCACCTAAACATTTAACATTAAAAAAACAAGAGTGCGTTATGACAGATGTTCTTGTATAAACATCACTACCAACAACCCCCACCCTTTCACATGCAAGCCCCTATTTGTTCCTCCCCCTCTCTGCTTTTGTGACACTCTTTTATGCAGTTGTACTTCTCCTAGGCCTTCGCCAAGATCTACCTGATGGCTGCTCCCAGTGAAAAATTGACTTAAAAATAGGCAGCTCTTCATTTAAAAGCAAGTGTGTACAGCTTACTAGTGTTGTGTAAATGGACACAGGTTCTTTATTAGGTAAGCCTTGACCCACCCATTCCTTGTATGTAAAGATGGCACCAATAAATTTCTAGTCCTGTAGGTTTAAAATATTATTCCCATTGTGATTTTTAATGATAATCTCGATTTCAGGGTGGAGACGGAATGCCCAGCCACCTCCGCAGTTTCCTGAGTGCAAAGTGCAGCACAGTCTGTGTGTAGTTCCACCTTCAATTGGGTGTCTCCTGGTACTGCCCTATCTTCTTCTGAGAAGGGGGCATCTTCACTGGGGTCAAGGAGCTTTGCTCCTCTGTTGCCGTACCTGCAGCCCTGACCAGTGACTGGGGCAATAGAGAGTGGGTGTGTGCACCTCTCCAGCAGCCTCCTGAGGTTATTGAGCCTGACTGTCCTTGGCAACTGCCAACCTAATAGTGGAGGCAGCCAGATGTTCGCATGATTTGCTGTACTGCTGCAGCTTCTGGGCAATGAGGGCCAATTGCGTCCCAGATACCAGTCTGCCACTGCTATTCCTTTTTGTGAATACAGATGAAGTTGCTGATTGCCGGCAACATAAGGCTGCCTCCTGCCTGGGACTGAGCTGGTGCCAGGACTCCATCGAGTGCCAACTGCCACTGCTATTTCTTGGCCTACTGTGGAGCTGTCATAATGAGGCGCTCACCAGCTTGTGAACCCATACTGTCTCTGTGTGTACAGGGCCCCCGAGATATGAGCTGGTCGGAGAGATACAGGAGGCATTCGGGCTGATGCTTCCTCAGAGGCCTTGGTACTTTCATTTTCAGAGGTCAAGGTTGGAGCTTTTGGGTTTCTCTGCTGATGTCATGGGGAAGCTAACTGAAATTGCGCGACACAATAAAGAGAAGACATCGTAGCCGGTGGTTATATGTGGTGTGTAATGAATGACACTGACAACGAAGTGGTGATTGAATAAAGAGTGGTGCTTACTCATTTGGTGAGACATGGATGTTCAGCGTCTCCGGGATTGTCCTCCTAGGGGATGGGGACATGGATGTCAGGCACCTGTGAAGGCTGTCTCTGCTGTGTTTTATGAGCTGTCTTCTCTTTTTATGAGAGTAAGGTAGTAATGAGTGAGATTACACTGGGTGGCATGGCTCTCAGTGCTAGTAAATGTGGTGGAAAGATAGTTGTGTTAGTTGTGTGGAGAATTCAGGAGATGAGAATGAGTGAAGGAAGGTGTTAGGGCAGTAGTGAGAGTGGCAAAATATGAGCCTTGTTGGGAAATGGGTGCTGTTGCAGAGCTATTGAGCCTGAGGTGGCAGAGAGAAAAGTGTGGCACTTACCTTCTTTCTGTTATGCTGACCATCCCACCACACCATTGAGATAGCACTAACCTGCGTGGCAACCAGGTTACCATAGGTGCGGTTTTGCATCCTCCTTTGCTGGTCCTCTGGGAAAAGGATGTCTATCCTCTGGACCACCCAATCCAGAGAATCGCAGTACCATCTTTGCTTTTTCAGCATGTCCTGTCCAACTGCACAGCAAGCTTTTCAGAATGGCTCAGGTGCAAGGGATACTGGTGTTTCAGGGGATATCCGATGAGTGGTGAGGTGTTCTAGGAAAAATGCATGGTAAGGTGGGGTAGAAATCGAGAAATCGGATTTGAGAGACACCATTGGGGTGTGGTAGGTGATTAGTGAGGTGAGTTTGGTGAGATAGGATAAGAAATTAGACCGGCCTTATGGCAGAAGACTCTTCAAAAAACACATTGCAGCTCGGACTTGGCCAAAAAAAAAAATTTAGACTCAGCACATGGTCTCACTAAGGCTCTATATAAATGAAGTATCTCATCCTTATTTTTATGCTGCATCCCATTAGACTTGTTGATTATCTGTTGTACCTGCACGTTGACTTGTTTTGACTCGTACTAAAACACCTAGATCCTGCTGCACCTTGGAATTAAGCAGTCATTCTCTGTTTAAATGATACTCTGCTACCTCATTCTTCCTGCCAAAGTGAGCAACTTCTGATTTTCACACATTACATTCCATCTGACAAAGTTGTTCCTTCAACTCAACTCAAGGTGGTCTGACTTGGGGATGGAATTAGAATTAGCAAACACAGGTTTTAAAATGAGAAGCCTCAGCACAGACTGGAAAGTGCAGGCAACTATTTTCTCAATTCCAGAGCAGAGCATGCTCCAAGAAAATCTGTTTTAGGATTTTAGGAGACTGACAAAATGTGCCACTCTCCCACATTGTTACAGTATCGAAGTTCACACACGATTGTTATGTTTTGAGACCGTAGCTTTAAATTTAGCATAAACGTAGGGGGTCAAACTAATGAGTCCATGCAATCATTTGTTTGTATTGCTGTAAGGCTTGTGTTTTGACAGACAGCAGCACAAAATGGATTGTAGGGCAGCAGCAGCTGCAAGCAAGATTGTGATGCGTTGAATACCCTTTGCTTATTCCATTCTAGGCATTTTTATTGACTTTTATTGTGGTAACTTATTTGTTTAAACACAAAGAGAAGGCAGTTTAGGCCTTTTATAAAGCTGATTAAGGAAAGATATGTTATCAAAATTCAGTTTATTTCCAAAAATAATTTAAACATTTTCTTTCTTTAGGAGATAAATCCCTTTACCAAGTGAAGTATGAAAATGAAAATGAAGGCGGCTATGATTTCTATGACATTGTGGTGATTGCAACGCCTTTACACCAGGAAACTTCGAATATCAGCTTTAGTGGTATGACACCACCAGTAACAGATTTTCCTGGTCACTATCAACATATGATTGTTTCTATAGTGCATGGTTACCTCAATTCGTCATATTTTGGCTTTCCGGATCCTAAGCTCTTTCCATTTGCAGCAATTGTAACAACTGACAGCCCAAAGCTTTTCATGTTTAGTACAGGCTGTATTTGCCCAGTGAATATCACCAGTAATTATAGAAGAAAGCAACCACAAGAAGCTGCTGTATGGAAGGTTTTCTCTCCATCGCCCCTAACCAAAGAACAATTGAAGACACTCTTTCTTTCATACTACTCTGTGCAAGTCACTGATTGGCTGGCATATCCTCAATACACCTCGATGAAAGGAATCCCTCCTGTAATTCTGCATGATAACCTGTATTATTTGAATGGCGTAGAATGGATAGCAAGTAGCATGGAAATGGGTGCCATTGCTGCCAAAAATATAGCTTTGTTGGGGTATAATCGGTGGCATCAACAACTGGATAAGATTGATCAGAAAGACTTGGTGCATAAAATCAAAACTGAACTGTGAGGAAGGGCACAGTCAAATTTGATGAATAAACACATTGTATACTGTACTTGAATTTGAACTTGCAATGCCACTGCTGAATCTTTCAGTGTTTTAAACTGATTGTTAAGAAATTGAATTAAAAAGACCTTGTTGCTGATTGCTAACCTGTCACAGTTAACTATTTCAAAGTTGTGAAATAGCCAATTTTTTTTCCAGTCACTGACTCAGCTGCTGTTTAGTGATCTCAGCAAGGGAGGTCAGAGACTAAATTTAGTATTTTAAGAAAGATAGAAAGTATTTTAGATTTATCTATATCTATTTGGAGTATTGTTAAAGCAGAAAATGCTGGAAATTCCTAACACATTAGGCAGCAGCAGTGGGGAGAGATAAGTTGACTTACTTTAAATATTCTTTGAAGGAGTGTAGCACAGCACAGCCTGCATTTTTTGCCCATTAGTAATTGCTCTAGAAAAATTGGTAGTCAGCTGGACAGAGTAACACGACTTCAAACCCAGTGACAGTGAAGGAAAGGTAATACAATTCCAAGTCAGGATGGTGTGTGACCTGGGGAACTTGCAGGCAGTTGTGTTCCCATTATCTGCTGTTCTTGTCATTCTAGGCAGAAGAAATTGCAGAGTTGAAAGGTCCTGGCAAAGGAGCAGTGCTAAGTTGCTGCTGTCCACCTTGTATATGTTGTGTACTGCTGCCATTGTGCGTCAGTGATGGAGGGAGTGAATGTTGAATTGATAAATAGGTTGCTGATGAAGCAATTTATTTTATCCAGAGTTGTGTCAAGCTATTTGAGTGCTGCACTCATCCAGGCAAGTAGAGAACATTCCATCACACTCCTGGCTTGTGCCTTGTTGGTGGAGTGGGAGCATCTGAAAGTAAGTTATTAGCCTCAGAATACCTATCCTCTGCAAAGACCTCTCATTGCCGATGCTGACTAGTCTGTTGAGTATGTCCGAAATTTCTGTTTTGTTTCAGTTTTCCTGCGTCAACTTTCCAGATTGTTGCTTTTTGATTCATGAATACCTCAGATATTTCAAATATCCTATTACCTTGAATTGAATTTGTTACTGTTCTTAGTCCGTGTGGAAATGATTATGGAAACTTCTCATTCAAACTATTAAGAGGCAACAGTGTATACTGATTTATGGATAATTAACAAAAGAAGCAGCAGCAACAAGAGAAAATGCTTTTTTGTTGCAGTCAGTGATTTAGGTTCTGGAATGCACTACCTGAGAGTGTACTGGAGATAGATAGATAGATTTTGTTTAAGGTCTGCAAAAGAGAATCTCATAATTAACAAAGTGAACAAATTTACAGGGGTCTAGGAAACTGATAGGGAAATGAACTAACAGAGTTGCTCTTGAAGAGAGCTATGACAGACATGCCTGGCCTTCTGTGATGTAACCATTCAATACTTTGTAACCTTAGTGTGCTATGTAGAATGGCAAGACAGAGGCTCTATCCCAGGAATTCCCTCTCTTCACCTCAGCTATACCGTTTTAACTCCCCACTGTGACTTAATCCCTATGATTTCCCCAACATACACACATCACTACAAATTTAATAAAACAGTGTGGAGGTAAAGTACATCTTTGAAGGGGACCCTATTTTACCTTGGTCTTCTGGGGCATTGGAAAATAGAGATAGATCAGCTGATGCGAAATATGGTTGTGAACTGAACCTTAAATGAGGAGAACAATTACTAGCAAAAACAGATAGACAGTATTGTCTGCAGTGCTCATCTCGTCCCATATTGAGAAGGCACATGAGAAAATGCCAAAATTATTTTCACTTGGGCACTTTATCAATGTGAAGATGCTGACCAGTACATTTTATTTCAAAATAGTCAATCTGTTCTTCCCATCAGTTTACTGTGGAGATAAAAATCGTGAGAGGTTTTTAACTCCGTTGCATTATTTTGCATTATCATGCCTTCTGTGTGTATTACTTTGCACAGTGTTTCTTCAACTCAAGTTTCAGGTAGTAGTTGCAACATCACAGTTTAAAATTAGAAAGAAGTCTGTAAAATGTGGAAAAAGCGCAATTTGTGACTCTACAATAATAGTAATTTAGTTGTTATTCTCAATTGCTTAATCATGCAAATGATGTTTTATCAGTGCTGATTAGCTGATATATTTCCGCACAATGTAAATAAACTTCAGCTTGAATAACCATTGTGGGAATGGGGATGCATTATTTAAATGTGGACAGCACATGAGAGAGGATGTTAAACATAACCAATAGATTTGTTTCTGAAAAGTTCTGCATCATGATGTTTGGTGTGATCATGAGCCATCGAGTGGTCACTGGAAGGTTTTCTTTTTCTGGACGATCTGGGTTGGAGAAAATCTTCTAAGTTCTGCTCAAAGCCAGGTCCAACATACAGCATTCCTGTTGGAACTAAATGTTTCAATATGGCGCCACTGCATCATCTGACGTGACTTATGCACCAACGGCCATTTAGCTTTCGTGATGATACCTATGCATAAACAAGACACCAGAGGATTCATATTGTGTGTGGGATAATTCCTCACTGTTGTGAAAGAAGGGGAACAAAAAATTCCTTACTAAAAATTACATAGTAAATTTGAAGGGTTTTTCAGGAGTAAAGTGAGCAGAGAAATTGCGCATCGATCTCTGCATCCCCAGAAAGTGAATTAAAAAAGTAAATATTTTACACACTGACTACTGTTACTACAGAAATTAGTAACCTCTACATTAGGCTTTAAAAAGACTTTTTGATGAGTAAATGGATAAGATTTCACCTTGAAAGCACTTTATGATTTACTAACCAGTATGGTCATACATTGATTTTACATCAAATGTATGTGTACATTTATACAAATACTCTGGGAATCTTGATAGTACAACTTGTTATTATATTTTTTCTGATCTTACGCAATTGATGATTGAGAAGACACAATGTGCCATTCTGGATTGGTGTATTTACATATTACCTAAACACTGGTGCACTGTTCATAAAAGTGCTAATATGGTTTAGTAAAGTAAAACCAATGCTGAAAATAATGTATTTGTATAGTGGAAGGATAGCTAATGTTGGAAAAAGACCTTCATGTTGTAATTTGTGTTTTAGTAAAAATTCTTTAAGAGTGACAAAAGTTTCACTGTGATTATGTGTTCATGATTTGGCAATATAATTCTATGGTGTATTATAATTAATCCCATTGTTCTGTTCTAAGAAAAATCAGAAATATTGCAATCAATTTTCTGATCATTAAAACAGATGATTAGTTACAAGAGAAGGAAAGCAACGTTTGATGTCAGGATAACACAGTGTGGAGCTGGAGAAACACAGCAGGCTAGGCAGCATCAGAGGAGCAGGAAAGCTGACGTTTTGGGTCGGGACCCTTCCTGCTCCTCTGATGCTGCCTGGCCTGCTGTGTTCCTCCAACTCCACACTGTGTTATTTCTGACTCCAGCATTGGCAGTTCTTACTATCTCTGTTGTCAGGATTCTGTTTTATTACAACATATTGCTGAATAAAAGCGCATTATTAAGGGGAACAATCCAAAGGTTTATTTTAAGTCTCTTGCAATATCTGTTGAAAGTTGCAGAATATTTCTTCCTGCTTGTGAGTGTGGTCCGTTTAATTCACCATCATCTAACAGTCTATGAATGTTCAAAGATTGGCTTTGCTAAGGGGATTTGTCTTTAAAGACTTTGCTTCTTGTATTCTAAACTGTGATTCAAATAAAACTCACGGTGGATAATTGTTAACAAAATAATTTCAGCAAAGTGTAGGAATTAATTGCTAACATTGAAACATGAACCTGAACTAAAATTTAATATCTTTATTGAATAATGGTGTTTGTTTTACCCCTTGTTGCAAATCTCCTTTGTACCTCAGCAATTTATTCATATCAAAAAAATTGCATAAGTGTATAAATGTACCTTTCTGAGCAATGCATTTTTAAAATGCATTCATTTAATTAGTCCTGTTTTAGTAGTTTATGAATATTATTCAGAAAAGAAGAGGCCTGGTTTTAAATGCTAAATTCACTTTTATCGCTCGTTGATGCTTTGCCTCCTGTGTTATTTGCTGTTCAAGTAGGTGAAATGCCATGATTCTTGGGTTATTTTGGACTATTAGGATGTTAATGTTATGCTGAATTCTCCCAATAGCCTTGCAATAATTGTAAAAACAGTAAAATGCCCCACTGGTTAATGATGCGTCTGTACTAAATTATTGGTGATATTCCATCTCTCTTGTTTGACTATACATAGAATACTGTGAACATTTTTGGTCCCCTGATCTAAGGAAAGATATGCTGGCTTTGGAAGCAGACCAGAGAAGGTTCGCTAGGTTGATTCCAGGTATGGAGACATTTTCTGAGGAGGAGGAGTTGAATAGGTTAAGCCAGTTCACATTGGGGTTTAGAAAAATGAGAAATGACCTTACTGAATCATACAAAATCCTTAGGGGACTTGGTAAGGTAGATTCAGAGAGTTTGTTTCCCTTTGTGGGAGAGTCTAGGACCAGAGGGCATAATGTCAGAGTAAGGGTACACCCATTTAGGGAAGACATGAGGAATTTCTTCTCTGAGGGAGTGAATCTTAGGAATTCTTTACCGCAGAGATCTGTGGAGATTTGCTGTTTAAGGCTGAGATGGACAGATTTTCAACCAGTCAGAGAATCGGGCTATGGGGAAAAGGCAGGAAAACAGAGTTGAGGATTATAAAATCAGCAATGACCTTATTGAATGGCATGGGCTGAATGGCCTTCTGCTGTTACTTATTATGATCACATCAATGGTTTACTTTGTTCATATAGAAATGTTGTTTATAAATAAAATGTATAAATTTATTACATAACATTTCAAGTTTGAAATTTCATAAAATGCTAATTCCCTTCAGTACTATATGCAAAGTGACTGACTATCCTTACAATTGCAGCTTATATTTACACTTACAACTAATATTACAATATACATTTAGATTTCAAATCAGATATTTTCTGACAGGAATTTTATATCTGTTCCAACCCCTTGATATGTAATGGAGAAAGGATCTTAGTGGCCATTGCCAGTTCAGTTTTAATACTACTATAATAAATGAATTTTCGCATAACTGATTCTGATCCTATCTTCATTTGATGACTGTGCACTTATTACTTTCCCAGCACAGTTGCAGGCTAGTGATCAGCAATGTGTTTCTGTATTTCCTGTACTCAAAGGATGTTTAGTACTAGCCTGAGATTGGCTAGTGTAAAATTTAATGAGTTCAGTTGCCATGTTTTTTGAGCAATATACTGTATAAGCATATGAATCAGGAAAAGGAACAGGCAATTCACTCCAAGTTTGCCTGACCATTCAACAAGATTATAGCTTAATTGATTATAAACTTTTATTCAACACTCCTGCCTACTTTGACAACCTTTCAACCCCTTATTTAACAATAATCTATTTATCTCTGCCTCAGTAGTAGTCAAGGATCCTGCTTCTCCCACATTTTCAAGTTCAGAGTTCTAAAGACTTAAGACGCTCAGAGGGAAAAAGAAAATTCCCAATCTTTGATTTAAATGGCCAACTCCGATTTTTAAATGACGACCTCTAGTTCCAGATTATCTCACAAGAGGAGACATCCTCTCAATATCTACCCAGCAAAGATCTCTCAGGATTTTATAAGTTCCAATCAGGTTGCCTCTTGTTCTTCTAAATTCAACAGATACAAGCCTAGCGTGTCCAACCTTTCGTCATTAAACAATTCACCCAGTTCAAGTATTAGGCTAGTAAACAAGCCAAGCCTTTAGAACTCTTAAAGGGAAAATAGGATTGCACGCTTTCAGCTAAATTCTGAATTTTCTTTAGGATTGAATAAATAAATTGGAAGCTTTATGCAGGTTGTCGACCTTCTGGCATAATCAAACACGATTCAAAAGTAATTAAAATTCTTCAAAACTATTTTCATAAAACTATTTTGCCAAATATAAATAATGCTTGTTTTAGAATTAATAACTTCTGAAATTGGCCTGAATCAGGGTGCACATATACCCCCTTGCAACTACATTCTGATTTAGCCCACTCTCCCTCTCCCTACTACCCCCTCCCCCCCGCCCTTTGATGTTTTGCATTGCCATTCACGAGCTTTGCAGGCAAATCAATTGGAAAACATGAGTAATTTACTGGTGGTTAATAGAGAATGGAGAAAATATACCACAGTGATTTGTTGATAAGAGAAAAATGTTTAGTTGTGTGTAAGAGCATTTCTGGATACAAAAAAAAACATCTACTATCTGAATGTTCTTTTTCTCGCACAGAACATATGGGTTATTACCCAATTAGTTTTGATCTTTCACAATTGAATTATATTCATCAATTAATTTCTGCAGTTTTGTTTATCTGTAACTGATGTAGATTTTAGTAATTTAAAGTCATGTGATTCAGCTTAGCTTCACTTGACAAAGAAATACAACATGGAATTTCAGATGAATGAAGGTAACAACATGCTAGATGCCCCTGTTTAGCTCATTTCCATTTCACAGAAGCAGATTGCAAGAACTTGCAGATCATTAAATCTGTACTGGGGAAAATGTTGGTACTTTCAATAGAGGAAGGCAAAAGGAGAGTTACTGCGAGAAGGGAACAAAATAAAAGCTTTGCGATTTTAGAAGACCGGCTAAATGTTTGACTAAATCTAATCTTTCTATTAGAGTTAACTTTGTAACAATAACATGTATTTAAGTTTGTAACTGTATAATCCTTTAGAATTATATCACTCATCACAATTTATTGTCTGAATATATAAAGGATATCTCACTGATTCACTCTTCATACACATTGAATAACTTAAGTATTTCCTTTTGCAATATGTTTGATCTCCTTTAGAATAGAATATCTTTTATTATTACGTACTGCAGTACAGGAGTACAGTAAAAAGTTTTTACAATGGCTACCTCTGTTGGTGCCATCTTAGGTACAAATCTTGGATGCCAAAGAGGAATGAAAGGAGAAGTAGTAGCATTACTTAGTGTCTAAAAAAAGTTGAAGTAAGATACCGGAAGAGGGCAGCAGAATGGTGACGCTGATTGGCTGATGTGGGGAAGATTTGCATCAGTCACTGCTTCCAGGAGATGGTTTGTGGAGAGGCTGTTGTCAAGTGACAGTATTCGCAGCGATAAGTAAGAGTAAGTGTTTTATAAATTTTCTATCCCCAATCAAGCTGTTTAAGAAATGTCAGTCAGTGGGGTTAAGTGCTGCACTTATAAGACATGGGAGATCCACGATGCTTCCAGTGTCTCGGACGACGACATCTGCCGGAAAAGCACCCAATTGCAGCTCCTCACAGATCGCATGGATAGGTTGGAGCGGCAATTGGATGCACTTAGGAGCATGAGGGTGTTAGAAAGTGTCATAAGCAGTAGTTTTAGAGATGTGGTGACACTCAAGGTGCAGGCAGATCGATGGGAGATCACCAGAAGGGGCAGGGAGCTGGTGCAGGAATCCCCTGTGGTTGTCCCCCTCTCTAACAAGTACACCATTTTGGATACTGTTGGGGGATATGACCTATCAGGGGATAACAGCAGGAGCAGCCAGACTGGTGGGGGCTGGCTCTGTTCTTAATAAGGGAAGGACAAAGAGCATTAGAGCAGTAGTTGTATGGGACTCAATAGTTAGGGGTACAGATAGTCGCTTCTGTGGACATAAAGAGACTCCAGGATGGTATGTTGCCTCCCTGGTGCCAGGGTCCAAGATGTCTCTGAACGGGCAGAAAGCATTCTGAAGGGAAAGGGTGAACAGCCGGAGGTTGGGTTACATATTGGTACTAGCAACATAGGTAGGATGAGTGACGAGGTCCTGCAGCAGCAGTTTAGGGAGTTAGGTAGAAAGTTATAAAGCAGGAAGTCCAAGGTTGTAATCTTGGTGCCACGTGCCAGTGAGGCTAGAAATAGGAAGATAGTACAACTCAACACGTGGTGAAACAGATGGTGTAGGAGGGAGGGTTTCAGATATCTGGACCATTGGAATCTCCTCTGGGGCAGGTAAAACCTGTACAAGAAGGACGGGTTGCATCTAAACTGGAGGGGCACAAATATTCTGGCTGGGAATTTGCTGGTGTCACTTGGGAGGATTTAAACGGACTTGGCAGGGGGGTGGGAACC